TTCTCTTCCCGATCTCAAACACCTACTGGACTCCTTGCCGGAGCCTGTGCGCCTCCTGGATGATTTTTTTTTTGTCGACATACCCTCTGGAGTGATGTTCTGACAAACACCCGGGGTCGCCTATTTGAACCGTTCATCCTCTTTTTATTCCCAATCTCTTCTGAATTCTGGTGAGCCCACTCATTTGGACTCTCAGACTCGCACCCTCTCCTGTCTTGATCTTTCTCTATGCTCGTCGTCTCTTTACTTGGATCTTATGTGGGGAAATCTGGCTCCAGTATAATACTGATAAAATGTATAATTTTAAGGATGCAAATTAATGATTAATTCTAAGATAGCTCAAAGGACCAGAATGAGTAATGAAATGAGAAAATCAGTGGCTTATAGATCTATGATTATATGTGAATAAATTCTATTAAGCAATGACTAAATTATATAATTCTAAAACCAGCCTCCCATGACACATTTTGGCGGGTATTCTATAAGATTAATCTATGTGTAACATATATTATGCAATAATAATAATGAGTATAATATGCACACACATAGATAATGAGTAAAATATGTAATGCAAGAAATACTACTGCAATGTAAAAATTAATAATGCATAAAAGTAATACATGGTTTGTAAAACCATAATATATGGACTCTGAATAATTAAATACTATCTACAATGAAAAACTGATTAAATCTCAGCTGTAACAGAGGGACGTAGATGCAGTCCACTATACAACAGTCTGGAACCAGCTTGAGATAGCACTACTTGAAACACGTGAGAGTATGGCGGCCACATGCATCCTCAGGGGTGTTGTACCATGATGCAACAATGATAATTCTGTAATTTCCACCCTAAACTAGTATTTACACAAATACAAAGGGTTATCCAGGTATTTAGAGGGAAAAAGAGCTGCACTCACGAGGGAAATTTTGGTACGCCTGCAGCGTCACATGACTACCTATATTAGTTATTATTGTGAGCTCATCAATGATACTAAAAGGTAAAAATGCCTGCCGAACTGGTGTCCGTGATTCTGGTAAGCTGCGTCCTCGATCCAGCATCTAGGGATGTAAGGATGCCGTCTGGATGGTAAGATGTGTTGGACCTCCTCAGAGCACCGTCATGCTTGTTGATCGAATATAGCGAGAGTCCTCTCTCCTCCTTCCCGAAAGTCGCGCATGGGCAATAACTCACCGTGAGGATTCGAGCATAAATTATATTTATTAAAGCTAAATAGGGAAGGGGGCGTTTATGAACACACTTTATAATTTATGTGGTGATGTTTAAGTCTCACAGTGCAAGTCAGTTAATATAGACTGCACAAATAAAACTATACTTGCTTGGTGGTGGAAATGATGTTAGATCATAATATGATTTACTGGAACAGCGATTAAGTTGGGTAAAGAAATTCCAGTAAACTGTTGTATACTAAAGGTAAACCTATTACTAAATAATTATTCCTAATAAGGGAAAGTAAATGGTTATACTTGTATTAAATCTACTGATATGTGGAAATTTAGTCTCTGTGAGTGGCTGACGCAACACTACACAATTCTAGGAGAAATTACATGATGTTCCACAACCTAATACAGTAAACAATATAATACTAAACTACGTATTAGTAGTGTTAGTTAATTATTACGCTCAGTACAGGAAGTACATCCCATTGTACTAAGGATTAGTAAATGAATATTAGATGTGTATGTAGCCTAATACAGGAAATACATCCTGTTGTATTAGGGATGAGAATAACTGTTGGAAATTTCCAACATCTTACGGGACGAGTTCTTGACGAGTTCCATGGCAGTGACCCTTTCCCCATCCTTGTTACCTTGTTTTCTTTTCACCCTCCCCTCTCCTTCCCTAGGTGGCAGTTTGCTAAGGCAGACTGGAACCTATTTACCCTCCGTGCTGCTCTCTCTGGCCTCTCCCTTGTGCCCTTCTTTTTCATGACACTGTCTTCGACGCTGCCCTCCGCTCTATTCCTTGCTCTTCCTCTCGGGGACCACGGAAGTGTATTCCCTGGTGGAATGTGGACTGTGCTTGGACTGTCCCTGTAAGCGTGCAGCCTGGAAGAGAGACCGCCGCCAGCAGACAGCTGATTCTTTTCTTTTGTTTCGGAAGGTGAGTACGGTGGCCCGTAGGACCATCCGTACAGCTAAGCTTAAGTGTTGGAAGTCTTATGTTGCCACCATTACGTCTGAAACACCTCTGCTGCAGATCTGGAAGCGTATCCACAATATAGGGTAAGTTTGTTCCTGATTTCTCGCAGGTCCTTCACCTCCGTGGTACTCTTGTGGTGGACCCAGCGCAGGTCGCGGCCGAACTGGGTTCCCACTTTTCTTCTGTTAGCTCTGCTTCTCGTCTTCCTCAATCTTTCCTTCTTCATAAACCTGTTCTTGAATCTCATCCTCTTATACTGTACTATGATTTCTGCACCCATCTCAGATTTCCCTTTAACGATCCCTTCTCTCTGAACTTCAATCTGCCCTGGCCCTTTGCGGTTCTACGGCGGCAGGCTCCGATGGTATTCATTATGAGATGCTACAAGACAAACACGAAATGAACAAAAAAGAAAAATGAGGTAGATTGCTTACAAGTACTCTCGGGTACACTGTAAGTAATAATTTGCATTTTGAGACACAGGCAAAGCCAGGGGTACCATGGAGTAAGGGAGTATGGCAAGGCTAGGCAACCTAGGTAATAATGAAAGCAAAGAAAAAAGTTGAATAATAAACATAGGCAAATTTCTTCTAATTATATTATTATATATTTATTATTATATATATATATATATAATAAATATATAATAATATATATTATTATATATTATATATATAATATATATATATATATATTTATTATATATATATATATATATATATATATATATATATATATATATATATATATATATATATATATATATATATATATATACATATAATATATATATTATATAAACAAATAATATAATTTATAAACAGTTATATTTACAGGGGGTAAATATCAGTTATATTTACCTGGACTACGGTCCGGGACCTACCAGGACTACGGTCCGGGACCTACCAGGACTACGGTCCGGGACCTACCAGGACTAAGGTCCAGGACTACGGTCCGGGACCTACCAGGACTACGGTCCGGGACCTACCAAGACTAAGGTCCAGGACTAAGGTCCGGGACCTACCAGGACTAAGGTCCGAGACCTACCAGGACTAAGGTCCAGGACTACAGTCCGGGACCTACCAGGACTAAGGTCCGGGACCTACCAGGACTAAGGTCCAGGACTAAGGTCCGGGACCTACCAGGACTAAGGTCCAGGACTAAGGTCCGGGACCTACCAGGACTAAGGTCCAGGACTAAGGTCCGGGACCTACCAGGACTAAGGTCCAGGACTAAGGTCCGGGACCTACCAGGACTAAGGTCCGGGACCTACCAGGACTAAGGTCCGGGACCTACCAGGACTAAGGTCCGGGACCTACCAGGACTAAGGTCCGGGACCTACCAGGACTAAGGTCCGGGACCTACCAGGACTAAGGTCCAGGACCTACCAGGACTAAGGTCCGGGACCTACCAGGACTAAGGTCCGGGACCTACCAGGACTAAGGTCCGGGACCTACCAGGACTAAGGTCCGGGACCTACCAGGACTAAGGTCCAAGACCTACCAGGACTAAGGTCCAGGACCTACCAGGACTAAGGTCCGGGACCTACCAGGACTAAGGTCCAAGACCTACCAGGACTAAGGTCCAGGACCTACCAGGACTAAGGTCCAAGACCTACCAGGACTAAGGTCCAGGACCTACCAGGACTAAGGTCCGGGACCTACCAGGACTAAGGTCCGGGACCTACCAGGACTAAGGTCCAGGACTAAGGTCCGGGACCTACCAGGACTAAGGTCCGGGACCTACCAGGACTAAGGTCCAGGACCTACCAGGACTAAGGTCCAGGACTAAGGTCCGGGACCTACCAGGACTAAGGTCCAGGACTAAGGTCCGGGACCTACCAGGACTAAGGTCCAGGACTAAGGTCCAGGACCTACCAGGACACACACAGGCGTCCTCTGTAGGGACGGTCCTGGGCGGGAATAAAATACTTGGCCGGGAATTTACACTAGTGAGTTCCCAGCCTTTGTTTACAATATTATCTTGGCGGGCATGTGGGGGCGTCCGGGACCCAGAAATGGTGGCTGACTGGAGGTCACTCTACAGTGGATTGCTGCACGCTTTAAGTCTCGGTACTGACTGGACCTTCAACGGCCTTTGAAGCATCGTCTTGCTGCCTAAAACCTGGGCCCTCGTTCAAGGCCAAACAAGCTAGTGTTGTTTCAGTACTAAAGGGAGATAGCCTTTGCACACTTGCCTGTGCACTGTGACGGCACAGGCTTAGTTCCCCAACTCTAGTGCACATGGAACAGCTCTACAACACACAACTTGTAGTCAGTGTCGGGACAGTGTAACAATGAACAACCCAGCGGGTTTTCTTCCTATTGGGGAGTGTTGAACATGCTGCTATAGCGGTGTGTCCACTCATCTTCGCCAATAAACTCGCCCCTTGGGGCAAAATTTTAAATTTTAAACCACTCCTTCATAGTGTGGTTGTAGTGCCTTATACAGTGTGAGCTGGGACTGGTTGTAGTGCCTTATACAGTGTGAGCTGGGACTGGTTGTAGTGCCTTATACAGTGTGAGCTGGGACTGGTTGTAGTGCCTTATACAGTGTGAGCTGGGACTGGTTGTAGTGCCTTATACAGTGTGAGCTGGGACTGGTTGTAATGCCGTATACAGTGTGAGCTGGGAGTGGTTGTAGTGCCTTATACAGTGTGAGCTGGGACTGGTTGTAGTGCCGTATACAGTGTGAGCTGGGACTGGTTGTAGTGCCGTATACAGTGTGAGCTGGGACTGGTTGTAGTGCCTTATACAGTGTGAGCTGGGACTGGTTGTAGTGCCTTATACAGTGTGAGCTGGGACTGGTTGTTGTATGCTAATACAGTGTTGTGTTGCAGGATACAACCTGATGGGACACAGTATTGTGGTGGAGCCGTCCGTCGCCGGTGGTGGAGCCAAACGCGCAGTGTAAGTACCCCCAGTGTTGTTGTTGTTGTTGCCCGGCGTCCTTGGCAGCGGGGGTGTTGCCCGGCGTCCTTGGCAGCGGGGGTGTTGCCCGGCGTCCTTGGCAGCGGTGGAGTTGCCCCCCCCCCCCCCGTGGTCAACACACTCGCAACACCATACCAAATTCTTAATCAGATTGAAGTGTTACCAGCCATAGTACCCACGTTGACAGTGTAGAGTTTAAAGATCTTTGTCCCGTGGTCCATATAAACAGTTGACTGTAAGGAGGGGGTGGTCAAGCCACGTGTCTGGGGAGGGGGTGGTCAAGCCACGTGTCTGGGGAGGGAGGGGTCAAGCCACGTGTCTGGGGAGGGAGGGGTCAAGCCACGTGTCTGGGGAGGGAGGGGTCAAGCCACGTGTCTGGGGAGGGAGGGGTCAAGCCACGTGTCTGGGGAGGGAGGGGTCAAGCCACGTGTCTGGGGAGGGGGTGGTCAAGCCACATGTCTGGGGAGGGAGGGGTCAAGCCACGTGTCTGGGGAGGGAGGGGTCAAGCCACGTGTCTGGGGAGGGGGGATGGTCAAGCCACGTGTCTGGGGAGGGAGGGGTCAAGCCACGTGTCTGGGGAGGGGGGGGGTCAAGCCACGTGTCTGGGGAGGGGGGTGGTCAAGCCACGTGTCTGGGGAGGGGGGTGGTCAAGCCACGTGTCTGGGGAGGGAGGGGTCAAGCCACGTGTCTGGGGAGGGGGGGGGGTCAAGCCACGTGTCTGGGGAGGGGGGGGTCAAGCCACGTGTCTGGGGAGGGAGGGGTCAAGCCACGTGTCTGGGGAGGGGGGGTCAAGCCACGTGTCTGGGGAGGGGGGGGGGTCAAGCCACGTGTCTGGGGAGGGAGGGGTCAAGCCACGTGTCTGGGGAGGGGGGGTCAAGCCACGTGTCTGGGGAGGGAGGGGGGTCAAGCCACGTGTCTGGGGAGGGAGGGGGGTCAAGCCACGTGTCTGGGGAGGGAGGGGTCAAGCCACGTGTCTGGGGAGGGAGGGGTCAAGCCACGTGTCTGGGGAGGGGTGGGTCAAGCCACGTGTCTGGGGAGGGGGTGGTCAAGCCACGTGTCTGGGGAGGGGGTGGTCAAGCCACGTGTCTGGGGAGAGGGGAACAGGTTCCTGGTGTGTGGTGTGGCTGGGGGCCACCTCTCACGCTAAGTAGATTAGATAATAGCAAGAAAATGCAGAATAGAACCAGTGAAGGGCAGAGGTGCCATAGGCACAATCAGAGAACACTGTATAAACATCAGAGGTCCACGGTTGTTCAACACCCTCCCAGCAAGCATAAGAAATATTGCCGGAACAACCGTGAACATCTTCAAGAGGAAACTAGATAGTTTCCTCCAAGGAGTGCCGGACCAACCGGGCTGTGGTGGGTATGTGGGCCTGCGGGCCGCTCCAAGCAACAGCCTGGTGGACCAAACTCTCACAAGTCAAGCCTGGCCTCGGGCCGGGCTTGGGGAGTAGAAGAACTCCCAGAACCCCATCAAGCAGGTAACTCCCAGAACGTCATCCAAGCAAGACACACACGAGGCAGACAAGAACCACCCGCCAGGAGGCAGCAGAGTGCTGGCGGGTGGCGTGCATGGCCACGCGCACGCAAATTGGTCCGGCGTGTACTGGGTGTCGGGTAATTGTGTTCAATGTTACGGTGCTTGAGCCCAGCGCCACGAGGTGTGTATTAGCGCGCCGCCTACTGCTTCACCCGCGCACATCTGCCGCATTATATATGTGGCTAGGAGGATAGGGGGGCTGGCGGCTGGGTAGGGGGGGCTGGCTGGGCGGGTAGGGGGGGCTGGCTGGGCTGGCTGGGCGGGTAGGGGGGGCTGGTGGGCGGGTAGGGGGGGCTGGCTGGGCTGGCGGGCGGGCGGGCGGGTAGGGGGGCTGGCTAGGAGGATAGGGGGGGCTGGCGGGCGGCCGGATAGGGGGGCTGAGGCAGGTTCAGCACCGATAAACGCTAATTCATAATTCATACTGTGATGCGTGAGTGTGCGAGGTGAGGACATGGTGTAGTGGTTCAGGTTGTGCTCACAGCAAATACATTCCTGCACTTCAAGCGTCATTTGTGTTACAATTTATTTTGCGTGGCTGTGTAATGTGTGTTTGTGGACGCTGTAAAGACCTTGGGGGGGGGGGGGGTTTGTGGTGCAAGGGCAGCTCCTGCACACGCACATTAACATGCTTATCGCCCCTATTACCATTCTCTTCAACCCCTTTCCCCTCAAGAGGGGAAGGGAGGGGCATCTTCCCTTCCCCTCTTGGGACGTGTCGCCCCTGGCGGGATGCCGTTGAACTAGCTATGACGTGAAATGCTAGAAAAGGTGCCGCGTGTAATCAGAGGCACTCTCAGACAAAGCCTGGAAGCCCTGACTGTTTGGTTGTCAGGTGATGGCGCCACGGAATCCACCAGCCCATCGCTGGAGCCCAAGAAGGCTTATCGGTACTAGGAACACGGGACAGGAGAGACGCTGTCTGGTCGTGCTAGAGGGTTATCTTGAGTTATCTTGAGATGATTTCGGGGCATTTTAGTGTCCCCGCGGCCCGGTCCTCGACCAGGCCTCCACCCCCAGGAAGCAGCTGGTTAGTCAGCAGCCCGTGACAGCTGACTAACACCCAGGTATCTATTTTACTGCTAGGTAACAGGAGCATAGGGTGAAAGAAACTCTGCCCATTGTTTCTCGCCGGCGCCTGGAATCGAACCCAGGACCACAGGATCACAAGTCCAGCGTGCTGTCCGTTCGGCCGACCGGCTCCTAGAAGCTTCTAGAGCTTCCATAAATCCTTTGTAATTTAGTGACTTTTGCATCTGTAATACTGGAGATTGAAGGTGAGACTGGATTAATATCTAAACAAGGATTTATTGTCATTACATGACCAGTAGGGTCACGGAGAAGCCATCGCCAGTTGTGTACTCACCTAATTGTACTCACCTAATTGTGCTTGCGGGGGGTTGAGCTTTGGCTCTTTGCTCCCGCCTCTCAACTGTCAATCAACTGGTGTACAGATTCCTGAGCCTACTGGGCTTTATCATATCTATATTTGAAACTGTGTATGGAGTCAGCCTCCACCACATCACTTCCTAGTGCATTCCATCTGTTAACTACTCTGACACTGAAAAAATTCTTTCTAACGTCTCTGTGGCTCATCTGGGTACTAAGTTTCTAAAGTACTAAGGTACTAAGTACTGTGTGGTTAAGAGACTGTGTGGGGAAACCTTGTGGAGCCATGTGTTACAGGTATAGAGCAACAGTAAAGGTGCCCCTTAATTATACACCTGAAGAGTCTTGTGTAGGGACTCCCGTGAACTAGTGTCGTATTTAACGATTCGAGACTGTGTGGATTGTTAGGTCTTAAAGCAAGTGTTGCCAGTGAAGCAGTAACTCAGAATTAGTGAACATTGTTGGGAAGTTTGTCCTTAAGCTGTGGGACTTACTAATGTGAGGTGATCTTCGTGTGGGGGTCGAAGTGGAGTGTGTGTGTCCCTTGTCCCAGTGGAGAGTGCGTGTGTGCCACCCAGGGCTCTGATGTACACCTGGGGCCAGACTCATGAAGCAGTTACGCAAGCACTTACGAACCTGTACATCATTTCTCAATCTTTGGCGGCTTTGTTTACAATTATTAAACAGTTGATGAGCTCCGAAGCCCCAGGAGGCTGTTTATAACAACAACAACAGTTGATTAGCAAGTTTTCATGCTTGTAAACTGTTTAATAAATGTAACCAAAGCCGTCAAAGGTTGAGGAAAGATGTACACGTTCGTAAGTATTTGCGTAACTGCTAACTACACCAAAATAACTGGTGTACAGGTCGCGTACACCAGTTATTTTCTGTACTGTGTGTCTATCATAAAATAATAAGTGTAATTATAATTATTGGAGTGTTATCCTAATGATTGGTTACTGACTGTCTTAGTGACAGTGATTAACGTAACGTAATCAAGTGTTAATCAGAGTGATTAATGTAATTACATGTATTGGATTATCTTAGTGAGAGTGTCAATGTCATTGTTAACGTAATTAATTGAAGTGCTGATGTTTGGATACTGCAAGTGTCGAGTGCAGTAATTATTCACAAAGTGTTCAGTTAGTTCACAAAGTGGTCAGCTGGTTCATAAAGTGTTCAGCTGGTTCACAAAGTGTTCAGCTGGTTCACTATTGTTGTCACCTGTCAAGAGGGTTGAGATAAAGGTCTTACATCACCTGTCACAGTGATTTGCTGATCAAAATTTCCTCTGGGAATTATGTACTGTGGGAGTGGGGCGTCTCATCTTGGACCACCAGCTGTGTGAGTGGGGCGTCTCATCTTGGGCCACCAGCTGTGTGAGTGGGGCGTCTCATCTTGGACCACCAGCTGTGTGAGTGGGGCGTCTCATCTTGGGACACCAGCTGTGTGAGTGGGGCGTCTCATCTTGGGCCACCAGCTGTGTGAGTGGGGCGTCTCATCTTGGGCCACCAGCTGTGGGAGTGGGGCGTCTCATCTTGGGCCACCAGCTGTGGGAGCGGGGCGTCTGATCTTGGGCCACCAGCTGTGGGAGTGGGGCGTCTCATCTTGGGCCACCAGCTGTGTGAGTGGGGCGTCTCATCTTGGGCCACCAGCTGTGTGAGTGGGGCGTCTCATCTTGGGCCACCAGCTGTGGGAGTGGGGCGTCTCATCTTGGGCCACCAGCTGTGGGAGCGGGGCGTCTCATCTTGGGCCACCAGCTGTGGGAGCGGGGCGTCTCATCTTGGGCCACCAGCTGTGGGATCGGGGCGTCTCATCTTGGACCACCAGCTGTGGGAGTGGGGCGTCTCATCTTTGACCACCAGCTGTGGGAGCGGGGCGTCTGATCTTTGACCACCAGCTGTGGGAGCGGGGCGTCTGATCTTGGGCCACCAGCTGTGGGAGCGGGGCGTCTCATCTTGGGCCACCAGCTGTGGGAGTGGGGGGTCTCATCTTGGGCCACCAGCTGTGGGAGTGGGGCGTCTCATCTTGGGCCACCAGCTGTGGGAGCTTGGCGTCTCATCTTGGGCCACCAGCTGTGGGAGTGGGGCGTCTCATCTTGGGCCACCAGCTGTGGGAGTGGGGCGTCTCATCTTGGGCCACCAGCTGTGGGAGTGGGGCGTCTCATCTTGGGCCACCAGCTGTGGGAGTGGGGCGTCTCATCTTGGGCCACCAGCTGTGGGAGTGGGGCGTCTCATCTTGGGTCACCAGCTGTGGGAGTGGGGCGTCTCATCTTGGGCCACCAGCTGTGGGAGTGGGGCGTCTCATCTTGGGCCACCAGCTGTGGGAGCGGGGCGTCTCATCTTGGGCCACCAGCTGTGGGAGCGGGACGTCTCATCTTGGGCCACCAGCTGTGGGAGTGGGGCGTCTCATCTTGGGCCACCAGCTGTGTGAGTGGGGGGGGGGTAGAGGCCAGGAGGGACGTGGGAGGGGAATTGGTGAGGGTTAAGGATGGTAGAGAGGCAATTAGGCTAGTATTAGGAGAGGGAAGGGAGGTTATGGGAATAGGGAAGGGGACTTATTTTTGTATTCCAAAATACAGACTGTATAGATATGATTGGGTATACAGGATTAGGCTTCCACGCTAGAGGGGGACTTGCTGATTGGGACGTGATGAGGCAGCGAGCCCCCTCAGGCCTCGTCTCCCCCCCCCCCGGCCTCGTCTCCCCCCCCCCCATGGCACACGTCATTCCCCCCCCCATGGCACACGTCATTCCCCCCCCATGGCACACGTCATTCCCCCCCCCCCATGGCACACGTCATTCCCCCCCCCCCCATGGCACACGTCATTCCCCCCCCCCATGGCACACGTCATTCCCCCCCCATGGCACACGTCATTCCCCCCCCATGGCACACGTCATTCCCCCCCCCCCATGGCACACGTCATTCCCCCCCCCCCATGGCACACGTCATTCCCCCCCCCCGTATGCAGCAGGTTATATTAAGAAGAAACCAAACAAGGTGATCAGTCCGACCGAGTCATTCACGAGTTGAATGTGATGAAGAGTGACCCATAAGGTGGCGAGGCTGTGATGTCAGTGGTGATATATGTTGCCGGAGGTGGCGAGGCTGTGATGTCAGTGGTAATATATGTTGACGGAGGTGGTGAGGCTGTGATGTCAGTGGTGATATATGTTGACGGAGGTGGCGAGGCTGTGATGTCAGTGGTGATATATGTTGACGGAGGTGGCGAGGCTGTGATGTCAGTGGTGATATATGTTGACGGAGGTGGCGAGGCTGTGATGTCAGTGGTGATATATGTTGACGGAGGTGGCGAGGCTGTGATGTCAGTGGTGATATATGTTGACGGAGGTGGCGAGGCTGTGATGTCAGTGGTGATATATGTTGACGGAGGTGGCGAGGCTGTGATGTCAGTGGTGATATATGTTGCCGGAGGTGGCGAGGCTGTGATGTCAGTGGTGATATATGTTGCCGGAGGTGGCGAGACTGTGATGTCAGTGGTGATATATGTTGCCGGAGGTGGCGAGACTGTGATGTCAGTGGTGATATATGTTGCCGGAGGTAGCGAGACTGTGATGTCAGTGGTGATATGTGTTGCCGGAGGTGGCGAGGCGGGCGGCTGCTGCTCCCTTTTGTTGAGCAGTTTTCCCCAACAGCAAGTTTTTGTCACTGATCTTTGAAGGTAGTGATGAGTTTAATACCTGCCCGGTTGTTTTGGTGGGTTGTTAGTGGTGGTGGTCTGCAGCCACTTAGTGCGCCTGATGGCAACGTCAATTAGAGCAATCTGGGGATTCGAACCCTTTACGGGAATACAGAGAACAAGTACGGCATGCGTAGACATGATAAAACACCTAAATTATTGTGATCGCCTCAAAGCTCTCAAAATGTTCTCTCTAGAAAGGAAACGAGAAGGGTATGAAATGACATGTTCAGAAGCCCTCACCCGTCATGTCTGGCCCCGGGCTGGGGGGGGTGAACTGCTCCTCCAGCTGCTCTCATTACTGCTCACTTCACTCGCCAAACACACACCGAAATGGTACAACGTTCGAACAAGTTTTAACACCTAGCCAGTTATAACAATTGTTACGACCCTGGGTTCCTCATTGGAAACCAGAGGTCAAAATTGAGCGAAATAAACTGCCTTATAGTATTGGAAACGCATCACGAGGTGCATTTGTTTGTATTTTCCCTGCCAGACGTAAGACTATTCTTGTTTCTCAAAGAGCATTTAAAGACTTGGGGTTGATTATTAAACGATAAAATAGGCACCAACTATGTTTACTAATACTTTTTAATCATTTGTAAAGTAAACCTGAGTAAACTTGGGATAGGAATGCTGTACGATTAGTTGAGTAGTCTGCTGGCAGCGAGTCTACTGAGGGAGAAGAGTGGAGATGGGCTCTCTCTAGCTGGCGTTCGTGGTGTCGAGATCTCCTCTGAGCTGCTCTGCAACCCTCTACCTTTTCTCCTCCTCCTTCCTTCCCTTACCTTGAATACCTGTAATACTAAGTTAAGTACGGTGTTGTTAAGTGTACCTACTCTGGAAGTGAAAGATTTGTGTAGACCTGGGGTAGTATTTGCTAGTGTTTTGGGTACCTTAAGTGTAGTGTTGTGTTGGGTTGTATTAGGGTCCCACGTGGTCTCACTACCCTAAGCTGCTTCAAACTTCAGTTCTTAACTAGTAGTACTTTACCCTAGCTTGTTCTCAGTGTAAACCATGTATCCTGCTTATGTGGATCAAGGCTTTTAACGTAAGATAGTGTGGTAAAGTAATTATTATTATTGCTATTGGTGTGAATGTATATGGGGGGCTGTTAAGGGGTTAATAAATAAGTTAGTAAAGGAGTATCCATTCTTCCTGTGTAGGAGATCTATGATCAACCTCTAGACTGACATTGTGTAGCCAATTATTATTCTGTGGATATTCCACTTGGGGGCCGGGCCTTTTAGATCTCCCATATGTGATACTCTTAATGCTAACTACTTCCCCTATATCCAGGCTTACTATATCCCGCATAGTACAGACTCCCATTTATAACAACAATCAATATAGCAAGTTGTAACAACGTTCCAATACGTCATAAACACGTTAAGCCAAGATGTAACAACTTTATTATAAGTTGTAACAAGCGGAAAATAGAGACAGTTTCGGTTTGTGTTTCCAGGGATATGCTCACCTCATCAATCTTCTCTTCTAAATTGGGACTGCTCTCCTCCTCCTGGAATGTATCGGCAAGTACTGGTCTGTGGAGCAGCTCTGTTAAGCTCTCCGCACATGATGGAGTTAGCACAACCACTCCTGAATGTGAACCAGTGTTCCAGAGCGCTGACTGACAGGAAGGTCCTACTCGACTCCAGCTGTAGTTGACTATCTGACGTAATAATGCTCCAGGGGCCTCGCCCGCCACTCCTTGTGTCCACCAGACGTCTCTTGCACTTCACTGAGGCTTAGCTTGGTGTACGACAGCAATTTCTGCTAAAATCCTAGAGCAAGCTTGAGTGTGTCTTGGTATTGCCCAATACATTTTGTGTGCTATCACTCAGTGGTCACATTTATCAAATGCCTTTGCGAAGTCTGTGGATGCAACATCTGCGTTTTTTTTTCTTCTAATGCTTGTGTGATTTTGTCATAGTGATTGAGTAACTGTGACAGACAGGATCTTCCCGCTCTGAATCCATGTTGTCCTGGGTTCTGAAGTTCACTGTTCTCCATAAAACTGTTGATTTGATTCCTAATCACTTAAAAACAAAGTGTATGTGATGTTAGTGGAACTGGTCAATAGTTTTTGCCAAAGCTTTACTACCTCTTTTGTGCAGAGGAGCTATATCTGCAGATTCAGGTGCTGCTGGTATCTCCCTTGTATCCAGGCTCTTTCTCCATATTACACTGAGCGCTCGTGCTACTGATACTCTACATTTCTTTATGAATATTGAACTTAATGAGTGACGACCAAGGACTGAGTGCATGGGCATATTGTCAATTTATCTTTCAAAGTCTTGCGAGTTCGTGTTAATATCATATATATTACATTGAGCTTAGATGTCATATATAAAGACACTGTCCGGACCTTCATCTTTGATGTTGTTTATTGGGGTGCTAAACATAGCCTCATATTGGGCTTTTTAAGATATCACTAATTTCTTTGTCATCCTCTGTATATAAATCTTCCCTTCTAAGTACAGGTCCAATACTGGTGGAGGTTCTTGATTTAGCATATGTGAAACATATATTTTTTGTTTTTCTTTATCTCTTGTACAGCTCTGTTCAAAGTTCATGTCCTCAGACTGGTATAACCACTTCAGCGTCTGATCTATTGCTTACATCTCCTGTTTAGATTTACTTTCCTTCGTCACTGACGTGTCTGCTTAAATGTTTCCGTGATTGTTTTCCTTCTTTTGCAGAATGGTCTGCGGTCTGTTTCTAGAGTGATCCTCTTGTTGACCCTCCGCAGAGGCAGATGCTTCAAGCAGACTTTACACGCTTCAGAAGTCAATTATTCTAGGCCTTGCATGAGAATTTTGTTACAAGTTCTATATTTGTTTGCTTTTCCAGTCAGCCTTCTCACTGGATTAATCAATTCATTTTTAACTTCTAGTTTGTTGGTGTTGGCTGCGAAGCGCCTCTTCGGCCTCATGAGATCTGGTACGTGTGCCACTTTTGCTGGAGCCTCCCGGTGTATTGGGCAACAGAATGCAGAACAAATGCAGGTGTGGTATACACGGACTAAGCAAAGGCATTCGATAAATGTGGCCATGGAATGATAGCACACAAAATTAAGTCAATGGGAATAACTGGAAAAGTAGGACACTGGATATTCAATTCTCTATCGAACGGAACGCGAAGAGTAACAGTCAACCATATAAAATCGAGTCCAAGCACAGTTAAAAGCTCTGTACCTCAGGGTACAGTCCTTGCACCGCTGCTTTTATTCTCATATCAGAGATAGACAAAAATATGTCCCAGCTTCGTATCATCCTTTGCAGATGACACAAAAATCAGCATGAAAATTGCCTCTACTGAAGACATTGAAAAACTACAAGCAGATATTAATAAAGTTTTCGACTGGGCCGAAGAAAATAACATGATGTTTAACTGATAAATTCCAGGTACTCAGGTACGGTAAAAATGAGGACCTAAAACATAATACAGGGTACAAAACTCAATCAAATGTGCCCATAGTAGGAAAACAGCATGTCAAGGATTTGGGAATAATGATGTCTGACGACCTAACGTTTAGGGAGCATAACCAAGCAAATATTGCGTCAGCCAGAAAAATGATAGGATGGATTACGAGAACCTTCAAATCCAGGGATCCCATCACAATGGTTGTACTCTTCAAGTCACTTGTGTTGTTCCGTCTTGAGTACTGCTCAGTACTAACTTCTCCCCTTCAGAGCAGGAGAGATTGCTGAAATAGAGGGAATACAGAGAACATATACGGCACGCATAGACGCGATAAAGCATCTAAATTATTGGGATCGTCTCAAAGCTCTCCAAATGTACTCACTAGAAAGGAGACGAGAGGCAAATAATATACACCTGGAAGATACTGGAGGGCCAGGTCCCAAATCTACACAGTGAAATAACAACATACTGGAGTGAACGATATGGAAGAAAATGCAGAATAGAACCAGTGAAGAGCAGAGGTGCCATAGGCACAATCAGAGAACACTGTATAAACATCAGAGGTCTACGGTTGCTCAACATCCTCCCAGCGAGCATAAGAAATATTGCCGGAACAACCGTAGACGATTTCAAGAGAAAACTAGATAATTTTCTTCAAGAAGTGCCGGACCAACCGGGCTGTGGTGGGTATGTGGGACTGCGGGCCGCTCCAAGCAACAGCCTGGTGGACCAAACTCTCACAAGTCAAGCCTGGCCTCGGGCCGGGCTTGGGGAGTAGAACTCCCAGAACCCCATCAAGCAGTGGTATTCAACCCCAACTACTTTGATATTCTCGGCTATAACTTGGCCTGATCTTTCAAGACTCCTGAAGTGTCTTATATCGTGGTTTGACTTGTTACTTAAGCATAAGAGGACTCGCTGGTTTTGATTAAATTGTCTTTCATAGTTCCTTTTGGGTATTGTGGTCGGCGGCGAGTTATGTCCGGGGTACTGGATCTTGCATAAGGGATATGGATGAAGGATATTCTTATCCTGTAGTATAAGTAAGGGTTCCTGAGGATCACGCTCCTTATTATGTCGGTACTTTTATTTGTGCCTACTTTTGGCCCATTGTGGGTCCTGTGCCCCCTCCCCCCCCCCTCTCCCCTCGTCTTTGGCCCATTGTGGGTCCTGTGCCCCCTCCCCCCCCCTCTCCCCTCGTCTGGCTGTTGTAAACCATTACTTTTTTTTTACCACCAACCCCCACTTAACCGGCCCCCCCCCCTCCCCTTTGATAACCCCCCTAACTTCTTTCCTCTATGCTTCCACCCCCTTTCCTATCCATCCAAACCTCCCATCCCCTCATCTTCTCACCCCCCCCCCACCCCACCCCTTTCCAAGGGGGTTTCTAGCGCAATTGATCTTTTCCATTCTTCTATTCCCTGCCCAATTTTTTTTTGTTTTATACCCGAGTTGGAGTAATGGTGGTTATAACGGGGGCGCTTTGTGGGGGAGGGGGGGTTGGTGAGGTCACCTGGGAGGACGCCTGTCTGTCTGTCTCCCAGGTGTCCCCAGGGTGTCTCCAGGGTGAGAAGGGAGGCTATATTGGTAGGGGGAGGGGGTAGGAGGTGTGGGGGTGGGGTTGGTCAGGGGGGGCACGGGTGGTTGATCGTCTTGGCCAGGGTTCGAGACCAGCAAGGGGGACGTTAATGGACGTCAATGAGACGCTCGTTAAGTCCGGAGGATGGCATAGTGTGAGCGGGAACCCGAGACCTTTCACCCCCCTCCCCCCTTCCCCCCGTTCCCCCTTTTTTTTTGTCCCTTTTTTTGCCTCTTTTTGCCCCTTTTTTGCCCCCTTTTTTTTGCTCCTTTTTTTGCTCCTTTTTTTTTGCCCCCTTTTTTGGGACTCGCCGTTATCCAGTTTTTTTCCTCCCTGTCCCCTTCATTCCAGTTGGGAAGGTCAGGCTTGAGGGGGGAATTGTAGAGGGGCGGGGAGGGGGGTCAGTGGGGGCTGCACAGTGAATGGACGGACGGACGGACGGATACACACACACACACACACACACACACACACACACACACACACACACACACACACACACACACACACACACACACACACTGTGTGTGTGTGAGGCGGGACCAAAGAGCCAGAGCTCAACCCCCGCAAGCACAACTAGGTGAGTACAACTAGGTGAGTACACTCACACACTCACACACACGTACGTGTGTGTGTGTGTGTGTGTGTGTGTGTGTGTGTTGGTAGACGGTTGGAACAAGTTAGGTGAGAAGGTGGTGGAGGCCAAGACCGTCAGTAGTTTCAAAGCATTATATGACAGAGTACTGGGAAGACGGGACACCACGAGCGTAGCTCTCATCCTGTAACTACACTTAGATAATTACGTGTACCACAACCCCAGATATCAACAAGCCAACCTGTTCTCGCACTTTCTTAGTCAATATTGATTTATTAAATAAGTGCATATGTGACATACTAATTTATTGTTAATATTTTAGTTTACCTTGAAAAGCTTCATACAAAACACCGACTTTACCTTATCGAAGCAATAAGATGCTTATCCTAACATACTAAGAAGGTTAGGTAAGGTCGGTATTTTCTATGAAGCTTTTCTAGGTAAACTAAAATAGTCACAATAAATTAATATGTCACATATGCACGTATTTAGTAAGTCAATATTGACTATACGAAAGTGCGAGAACGGGTTGAACAAGCAGCAGGATACCAACACTGCCACAAACAGGGGAACATCTCTGGTATCAGCCAACATTCAGGATATACAAACACGTGACCCACACCATGTTGGTGTTATGTTCATCATATGTTATGTATATGTTCATCATGTGAACACTACAGCCGGCCTCCTAAACCACACAGCTCCAGTTGAGCGTGAACTGACACTCTGGCTAAGCTGGAGTACTATCACTGACATTCGGATACCTTCTAGAGATGATTGAGATGAATTCTTGGCTTAGCGTCCCCGCGGCCCGGTCCCAGACCAGGTTTCCTGGATGCTGGACTGGTCAACCTGGCTGTTGGACGCGGCTGCTCGCGTCCAACAGCCTGTACAACAAAGACCTAACAGGGGGGGGGGTCAGCCTGTACAACAGACCTAACAGGGGGGGGGGGTCAGCCTGTACAACAAAGACCTAACAGGGTGGGGGTCAGCCTGTAC